TCGAACGTTATTAATCATAATGTATACAAGAGCCGTAATATGTCGGTATGTGAATTTTCAAGGTTTACTCGTCCAGGTCGTTTGGCGCCGGTGGAGAGGACTAGGCGAAATGAGCTAGGAGTGGAATGGGTCAGAACCAAACCGTGGGTGGAATTCAACCAGCCATACAATTTAGGGTAGATTTGGCCCTTGAAACCTAACACTTGGTTAATATGGCAGCAATTGGCCCCCCATTGCTCGTGCCCGCGACTCATGTATCAAGTAGATCTGTGATTGTACAGACACAGTCCACGAGAGCATGGGATGCGGCAACTTCATCAGGGCTAGCGGTGGGAATGAGTTACGCCCCACAGCCGAAATGAAACGTCTATATAACCTAGTATATAAAATAATCCGCCGGAAGCGGATCATATCTTTTCTCCCCGGAAGGAATGGAGATATTCGCTGACTCGATAGAATGGGAGGTTCTAGAGCTTGACCTCATTCACCCTCATTGTACCCCTCCCCTTCTACCTTTTTTTCCCTGAAAGTTTTCAGAGATCAAATATATGTTCAGATTGTATTCTATAACGGAGATCTGGACACGGTCAATAATTTCCTGAGTGCGCAGAACTTCATGCGCAAATTCGCCAGCACTCAAGGATTAACGGTAAGTCAACAATGAGCAAATTCTTTGGCTTCTCATTCAGTATCGATTTTACGCGTCTGAGATGACAGTTTTCTAGCAAGTGTTGTGTGAAACAATTTTTGGGTGAGCGGAGACACAGGCGCTAAAACCGACACTCATAAAACTGATGTTGGAAAGTTGGTGTATTTGGGCATTTAAGATGACAAGAGAGGACACGTGGAAAGCGAACTATAATCGTACCGTTTACATGTACACGGAAGGCGGTCTGCGGACCACTTATTCAGGAAACATTGACGTCCTATCCGTCAGGGTACGTTAAACAGAAAGAAACTTATTAAAAACCGTTGAAGTCGTAATCGCAAAAGCCAGCAGTCGCGGCAAGAGCTTTGGCACGGCAAAAGCCGTTTTCCATTCATTGATCAGTGCGTCCAGTGAGTGGTAGGAAAGAGGCTGGCAACTACCAATTCCCCGCTGCAGCGCTCCGACTGTCTTCAGTGATAGCGACTGTAGGTTTCAATTGGCCCAGCTGGGCTTCCATCTCTCCGGTATGTATCGGGCTGATCTGTGAGGATGAAAATTCCATCTTGTACTGTTTGAATAAATACACAGCACACCGACACCGCAGACGCGATAATGCTCCCACCCCCTTTCACATCATTACCTCATAGTCTGTAGTCGACTGGCTCTCGCATCTCCAGGTAAGCCGAAAAGCACTCAGAGCGTGCTAGGCCTGATTAGAGACGGACGGTGTGACGCATCATTTTTAAGGCAGTTCGCACGATAAATCCCTAAGACGAGTAGGATTAATATTCTTGGCAGGACGGAGTTCCACGCCCCTGAGCAGGCGCTATGTAGCGCCCTTTCCAAGTAAAGTGCTCTTATAAGGGCTCTATCAAGCTGCAACATACCGACCCGAATGTCCCCACTCTTCGACCGCCGCCCACAAATGGACGACCTGACACTCGTATTGATTCGTTTGCTAAGCAAATCATAAAGTGAACGGATTGGTATGAAGCGGCGGCGGTGCTGCATGGATATATGAGTACATACATGCAGCCTATCTTCAGCGTAGCGGTGATTGGTGCCTACGGGAAACTCGTCCGAAATCGATTTTCAAGTCACTGAGAACGGAGGCTTTTTCTTCGCAGGATTTTGACCGTTTCACTCCGTTCTTTCGCCATTTCCCCACTATGCCCTACTAGCATTTTAGGCCGAGTACCAAATTATCGTGCCAACTGCTATTAAGTCTAGGTTGTCTTTCAATCATTCATAATTCCTGAAAATAACTCAGTAACTAAAGATTTCTACGGGAAAACTTCCAGATTTTGAGCTCAAGAATATTCAGCGTAGATGAAGCCTCATTTCCGAATGCATGCTCGAGCATGTATTCAAAGGTCCAACTGCTTGAGCTTTGACGGGCAAAGGGTAGAATTTGTCGAGTGGGCGGAGATAGCTAATGCCACTATGGTTCCAGTCGTTGCCATTAGAATACCTGCTCATTTCTCTGTAGTTCATTCAAGTCAAGAAATCCAGTCAAATGAGTAATATCGTTATATTTTAGGGCTCCGGTCACTTCGTGCCAAAGTCGAGACCAGCTCAAGCACTCCAAATACTGCGAGAACTTCGTGAATGGATTATAGCTACGATAACTGTCTACATGATGGTGAACCTTGGCGCTGCACCACTGCTGCCCAACTACAGCTATTTGAATCCTTCTACCCCAAGAAGGGACGCCGATAGGGTGAAGAAAGCTTGAATTTTCTTCAGATGTTTCAAGTTGAAATTAATTGATCACAGCCGTTAACTTTCAAAGCGAAAATGCGACTGTTCACTACTAATGTGAAGGGAATCAATTTTGGGAGCTGTGCTCGAAGTCCAGGGTTTTTTAGTGCCTTGGGAACCTTGTCCGAGCTCGTCATAACCTGAAAATTGTAGTGAATTTAGCAAAGCGAAAGTCATGGTATTCGCGTGCAGTAAGACATGAAGCTGCACGACCGCACGCGTAACTATTTATAAACAATATGATGCGCGGTCTTTCTACCCCAACCTCTATGGTTGTTAATTTTGTTTCGATTTAAGCCCCGGTCCTATCAGAGGCGCAAGCACAGCCTTTGGAGGAATCCCAAGCGATAAGCCAGCAGACACACCATGCGCCGAGGGGGCTGTTTCTCGATTACAAGTGTCTAGATTCTCTCATACCGCCGACGCGAAGTTAGCTTTCGAAAAATCCAATTTCCGCCATCCCCCTCGCCCTCCTCCCTCTTGTCAGAGCAAACTATCGCCTTTATTCTCTACTGGTGAAGGACAGAAGTGCAAAGCTAGTTTGAGGAAGGGAGCAGCAATATCGCCACGCCCAATTTCTGCTTTTTTGCACATTCTTATCGAGACAGTGTCTAGGAGTTTGGTTGATAAAAGTGAATGCGCAGGTAGTCAAAAACGAGTGTGGCTTACTTCCGCCCTCTACTGGCCACCTTCCCTTCTCCAGCTCCGAATGCTAAAGAAGAGCCGTTGATCAGTGAACCGCATACCAGGGCATTCCTGATCGGCTAATGCCGTTTGGACTCCAGAAATTTCGGCACCGAGCTCATTTTTAAATTGCCTAAGTCACCAAATCCGCTAAAAACTTGTATATAGGGGTAGTTTAACATCCTGATTACGAATATGACATTCACTCTTGTCGCTGGCGCTAATGGATGACACTACGATTATCTGCGCTCTGCTAAGGCTGAGCCCAGGAGGTAATCGTAGTGTCATCCTTGGCGCCAGCGACAAGAGTGAATGTCATATTCGTAATCAGGATGTTAAACTACCCCTATATACAAGTTTTTAGCGGATTTGGTGACTTAGGCAATTTAAAAATGAGCTCGGTGCCGAAATTTCTGGAGTCCAAACGGCATTAGCCTTCCTGATCTCTGATTCGCAAACTACGACTCGCTCTCCCACTCCTTCCTCTTCACCCCAAAACCACCTTCTCTGATAAGATCTTCTTAGTCGTGCTACCTCCTATTTTCCTCTACTTTTTCCAATTCCCTGCTAGTTTTCCCCTTTCCAAAAAGTGTTCTAGTTTTCCCACAAAAACTGCTGTAAAACGGAGAGGAGTGAGTGGTAGAAGATCGCTAACTCACAATTCTAATTTCTACTATAGGAAATAGTAGTTCTATAGGACCTTCTCTGCTCCGCCAGCTATGTGGGAGGGGGCGGGGGCAGAGGAGTACGACAGGCAGCTACGACGATCTCTCCCCCTCCCAATGGGAGTCTCCGCACGGACGAGTGGATGACGGCGTTGGAGCACGAGAAATCAACTATCACAAAGAGCCCTCATTGAAAATACGACCCCCCCCCTGCAGTGACCAGATACGACCCCCGCTGGCGATTCCTCGTTTTTTGGGACTTTACCCAGCTCCTATTATTTTGAAATCATCATCACCAAGTTTTGTTCACAAACCACGAGGTGACTTCTTCTGATCGCAGGACCTCTTCAGATTATCGAGCTACCCGGACTCTCATATGAACCCAATTTCCAACAATACTCTGGATTTCTTCGCGGCTCAGACAAGCACCGTCTTCACTACTGGTAACTTCTTACTTCAGTGGAAAAGTTGAAGACCCACAAGCAATCTTAGGCTTTCAGGTTTGTTCAGCGTGCAACCGATAGCCCAGACACTCCACTTCTACTCTGGCTGAACGGAGGACCAGGAAGCAGCTCTGTATGGGGAATGCTGACTGAGAACGGGCCCTTCCGACCGAATCGTGACGGCAAAACTCTTTACGAGAATCCTTACTCGTGGAATAGGGTAAGCTTTATAGTTTCACCTCATGTAGTTTTATTTATTTTTCATTTGATCCAGCATCGTATAAACACTTGTGCCTATAAACACGCGTCCCATATCTGGGAGATGGAGAGCGTGTGGGTTCGTTTTTGGCCTTTTCATGGCCCAGGACGCGTTCTTCTACAATGCTACAATTTTGCTCGCTTAAGGCATCTGTGGTCCTGTCTTGTGCTAGGCAAAGGGACTACTACAACTGTCTCGAAACTCAGAATTGCATCAGTAGCGCAACCGCGGCCATATTCGAATGAAGCAGCATCCACGTCCTCTCCATTTCCGGGATAATGATTTTATCTTGGGTGGTTTCGCTACAGGAGTACAGTCACGAGCTGGGTCTCCTTACTCCTATGCCCTACTCAGACATCACTACTTTGTGCCACTTCAGTGTTTGGTCCTTCCTAGAGCTTCCCAGACATCGATACTTTACCGACCTCCGCCAATTCCCAGTTCTTTTGAAACGCCGATTCTTCTAAGTATAGACGCAGTCTTATCGTTGCTTGTGAGTGCGCCCCCACCAGTTTCGCTCCCATAATCAAAGGGCGCTGCACATACCACACTACTTGCCTTATAGTTTCGGTAGGGTCGCCATAGAGCTTCATTTTGACTATTCGGTATTTTAGCGCACTTTATCTTGGTGAAGGCAGCAAATGATATTTAGCAAAGCTAGTCCGATCTGTCTTATCTCATCATCACCGAGGTGTAATCTGGTTTATAACCTGGACCAACAAAAGGAGCTAGGGAAAGTGGGAAGTGCCCCTTCCAAGCCGGTACAACCCAGAATTTTTTTTCTTTTCGACGCACGCTCCAATCCGAACCATTCCTCTCCACCAACGTTAGCACCTAACAAGCTTCTGCCAGTGTTTCTGCTCATGAAATAATCTTCTTTCAGTTCGCTCACGTGCTATATTTGGAATCACCTCATAATGTTGGCTACTCTTATTCTACGGAGCCGAATGACAACGCTTATACCGACGATCAGGTAATTTTGTAAGCAGTTCCGTACTGTAGTCTACCGCAATCACAATCGTGTCGGGAAATGCCTTATTCTGGACGTGAATGGCACCATATTTGAAAACAAACTTCATTTCAAGAGCTTTCAAAAGAAGACCAGTCAGCAGTGTTGCTTTGTTACGTGAATGCGGGTCATTTTATGCCTAACGTCTTCCCAACACGAAAAGATGTATCGTAACAGGGGAACAGGGATGGCTCAAAAAGGAGAAGGGTTACGGTCCCATCTTCTGTTTTTTTTCTTACTCGTTTGCTGATTCTATTCAGGCTAATTTTAGACGGCTGATGAGAACTACAATGCTCTGAAGGACTTCTTTTCTATGTTCCCTGAATACATGGCACGACCTTTCTTCGTCACTGGCGAATCCTACGGTGGTGTTTATCTCCCAACGCTTTCTCGACGACTGCTGAATGGCGTGTACACACAGGATCTGAAAATAAATTTCAAGGTAAAGCCTCATCGTAGACTTGTTCATTGGCCTGGATCGTACTTTTGTTTCTTTGCTCCCAATGTGATTGGCCCCTGTGGACCGCGTGCGGTCGCGAAGAGGAATATTGATGCAGTGTAAAGTACGTTTCCAGGGAATCGCTATTGGAAATGGTGAACTTACAACAAAGCATCAAGTAAACTCAGTGATATTCCAGCTGTACACCTATGGACTTGTCGGCCAAACGTGGGTTTTCTCTTCGGAATATTATCTCAGGAACTTGGCTGTTAACTTAAAGGCACGGGGCACTATTGCTGGAGGTGGGCGGTTGGTTGCTAGCGTCATTGGTGGAAGGGGGTTTGGCATTACCTCATTAAACCTTTCCACTAATAACGTTGGCGACATCTGCCCGCTGCTGCCACTGTGCTCACCGCCCTCAGCTTGGAATATCAAGCTCTTGAAGAGTCTCATATCTATTTCTCAGCTTAGATATAAAGATGTCTTTGCATTCCATCATCCATGAACGTTAGTATTAGGTTGTCTCGGAAAGTTCTCAGCGTTTTGTGCACCTAATTTTGTACATTCACTGCTGATTAAAAACTCATTCTGCCTTGCTTCTCAGTAGCACATCCTGTAGAGAATTTCTTGCGCTATCTGATGGTATAATTGCCGTTTCACCATTGCTTGATAAACCCCCTTTTTTCAAGATTTTTCAAGCATGTGAAAAGAGCACTTCGGACGATTTTTTCTTCGACTATAAATTGGGGCAATCCGCAATCGAAACAGCTCAACAAATTAACCAGGTGTGGGGCCCAATAGTGCTAGAGAAAGCACTGTGCGGCAATGGCTCAACAAATTTATCTGAGATTCGAATTCAGCCTTGAAGATGAAGGTGCCTCATAGCGGTCGACCTAAAGCAATATCTGACGAGGATTTTAGGGGATTTTGAAGGTTGACCCATCCCAAACAGTTCGAGAGATAGCAGAAGAGCTAGGCCTTGGCAAATCCACTGTTGCAGATGGTCTGGAACGCATTGGGAAGGTGAAAAAACTGGAAAATTGGGTGCCCCAATCGGTGACCGGCAGGAATCGGCACGTCTCGAGGTTCCTTCTGCATTGCTTTTGCGCAGCAGAAACGACCTGTTTTTGGGCCGAATTGTCACCTGTGATGAAAAATGGGTCATGTATGATAACAGGAGACGTTTCGGACAGTGGTTGGATTTCGACGACAGCACGAGGTTAATTTCCAAAGGCCGAACCTCTAACGAAAAAAGATTCTGGTCACGCTTGTCTCGGATGCCTGTGTGATCCACTATAACTTTTATCACCAGGCCAAACCATCACAGCAGAACCCTACTGTGAAGAAATCGACGAATTGTACCGAAAATTTTGTCAGATGCAGCCAACGCTTATCAAAAAAAGGCGATTCTTTGCATGACAACGCCCGCCCACACGTTTCACAAATCACTATCCATAAATTGAACGAATTGGGGGTTGAAGTTCTACCTCAACCGCCATATTCTTCAGACCTTTCGCCAACCGACTATCACCTTTTCAAACATTTTCAGAACTCCCTTGCTGGAAAATACTTCATCAATCAGGACCAGGCAAAGCCTTAGTGGAAATTCGTGATTTCGACGCACGCCAGTTTTTCTTTGATGGGATTTCTCAACTGCTGTCACATTGGCAAAAGTGTGCTGATTCGAATGGTGCCTATTTCGATTAAATCCGATGAGTATTAAAAAAGTTACGATCGTTTAAAGTGAAACACCCAAAACGCTGAGAACTTTCCGGACAACCTAATATAATGGATTACCTCGACAAGTTATGAAAGCATTCCACGTCAGTCGGAATGGCGTACAGAAGGGCGGAGACTCCTCACAATGTGCCTCTTTATTGGCGCGCCTTCCTTTTCGCCTTTTTTCGCGCCTCATAAGATACTGATCCACCGAGTTCAACAAGGCGGTTGTAACTCTCCGCCCATTTCTCCGTCTATCTGTTCAACATGAAACGCGTCTTTAGGTCCATATCATCTGCGAAAGCACAAAATTGGATCAATTGCTGATAGGCGTATCTCTCTCATGAGCTTTGAAGGAGTGTGGAACACGTGAAGCCGATTGAAGAGAGGAAGAAGTGAAGTGAGGTCAAAACCGAGGCGGCGAAGTGACTCACCACTGGCGGTGACGAGTAAGGGTCAGGAACTCAGCGTTGCGGCTGCTCTAAGTCATGTCACGTGCAGCATTGTCAACATTAGCGTTATGCATTATGCTTCA